TTAGGAGCAAGAAAGTTTTCATGTGACCCCAATCCTGCAGAATTAGGAGGAGAAATGTATTCGTAGCGCACATCTTCTGATTCCACATCCACATTTTTACTTTCCACTTGATCCAACACATTTATTAGGTCGTTGATGATAACATTTTCTTTGAAATTTGTACTAGGAGCAAGAAAGTCTTCATGTGAGGAAGATTTTTTTTCATTATTTGAATGATACTTAATTATTTTAACACTAGCACTTTTTGACATGATAACTTGTTCAATTAAGTTTACTTTAGGTGCAACAAGATTTTTTAAAATTTTGGCTTTGGGTTTCCCCATAGTTTTTACAGAACACGAATAATTGTAAACTAACTGAAATATGTACAGAATCTCTTTTTATAATAGGTTTTTTGAATTAATTAAAGCATTCATCCCTTATTTTTCCAACATAAAACGCAACCCGCATCTTTACACACCTCTGCAAAATAATGTTTTTGCATGCAATTTCACTAAATATGAATATTACTCATCTGTGCTGGCAAATAATTTACCGGTTTTACCATATGTTTATATTAATTTACTAGACCAACATCGGAACAAATGTCTCTCGTCTGAAACTTTTATAAGTCACCCAATAAAATTTGCTAACTAGATTTTTATTAAAAAAACGATTTTTATTAAAAATAATTTTATTTTAAAACTTTATTACAAAAATAACATTCTTGTTGTGAGGAAACTGGGCCATCGATGTGGGTTCTCCAATCTGCGCGATTGTAGTGGAAAAAACAGGGTAGTCTTATTTGTAGGGAAAAATCAGATTTGTAGTCAGGTGGTAATTTGCTCCATATCTCCAGTAATTCAAAAGGGTTGGCATTTTTAATCAAGTAATCCAAAGGTATCATGTTTAATTCTTCACTGGTTAATTCCCCTAATCGCTTTTTTCCATTAATATGGGATAGCAACACATCAACACAAAAACACCCAATCATTTCACAGAACTTTTCTGGATTTCTGAAATTTTCAACTTTTCTCGCTCTTTTATTCCTTTTTTTGAGACAACCTCAAGCCAAGAGTAGAGTGCTTTCACAGCTATCAGACCACATACCCACCTCTACCATGTAAAACCCCCCTCCAGCACAGCCATCATACCACTGTAAACCCCCTTCCCTGAAGCTGACTCAAGTGCCCCCAGACCTCTTCTACGTAAATGGTTCACCAGATTCACAAATTTTGGGGTTGGCCCAGGTCAAATTCTAATTTCATATCAAAGGAACCGATTTTCCCACGCTATCAAAAAAGTTCCTATGCTATCGAAAAAGTTCCCACGCTATTGAAAAAGTTCCCACGCTATCGAAAAATTTCCCACGCTATCGAAAAAGTTCCCACGGGACCCGGATTAACAGGTCAAATTCCCAAAATTTCAAATCAAAGGCTTCAGCTATCAAACCAATACCCACCTCTACTCTTTCTTGAAAATTAAAGAATATTTAAACAATTCCTGAATTTTTATTCCTCAATAGTGTTGCAAACTCCATGGGATGTAGAAGCTCTTGAAAGGATTCAAAATTAAAAGCAGACCGTTATTGTTAATCGCTTAACGCTTAATTGCTATCAAAGTTATATTGCAAAAATAGTAAAGTTATTAACAATCACCAATACTGAAAAACTCAAAAATGAATTGTTGTTCTTCTATAGACAATGTTCTAGCTCATATGAATGGTGAAAAATTACTCTCAGATTTTACAAGCGAAGAACTATTGAGAATTCCGTTAGATTATTTATTGAAACATGCAAAGCCCTTTGAACTTTTGGAATCGTGGGGTAAATTACCAATAAGTTACAAAAATAACTTCATTCTTCAAATTAAGTTACCATGCCATATTCATCACAACAGATCAGAATGGAGAACTCACTTTGATGGTCCACCAGATTCACAAGAAAAATGTTATTATTGTAATAAAATGATTTTATCCAATTATGTATGATTATTTCAAATAAAGCCAAATCGCTTAAAAAATTATTGCATTTTTCTTTCCAAAGTCCTCCATCAAACCAGACGACCTCCAAATGATGGTCATTTAAAGTGCAATGAATGAACTCGATAAAATGTATTTTTTACAGACAATGAAGTTGTTTAATTATAAGATAAAATTGAAGACATATACGGAGTGCAGAAATTTTAATGGATCTTGTTTTCATAAAAATGTTCACGGCCATTTAGGTTCAACGATCATCGCATTTTTACAGACAGTATAATTATGTAGGGAGTACGCGTAGAATAATTTATATCTCAAGACCAGATTTAAATTGCATGCACTTTAATGGAATTACCTTAAGAATACAGGGTGGAAAACTTTCAATGCATGGGCTACAGAAATCAAAATATTACTAAATTTTTATGGATTTATTATATGAGGTTTTAAACATGTGAAATTTTTCAATGACTTACAAACCAATTTTATCCAATTAAACTTTTATTTTCTATTGGTGTCATACACTTTTACTTAATATATAGAAATATATTTGTTCTAATAAAATGGCTTTCGAGATTTGCAAAGCAAAATAGTTATTTATGTAACAAGTTGTAAAATGAGCATGTTTTTTACACACAATGTGTTGGACCACTTCTCATTTTAACACTATATTAGAACACACTGTTTATTTTTGACGTTTGTGTTAGAATGAACCATTTTTGACAACTAAAATCAATGTCGAAAAGATGACATTTTGTAACTGAATTACAAAAATTAGTTCCCACCATATTTTCGTTTTTAAAATTCTTTGGGGGAATTTTATCATTTAGTGTATACACCCTGTTTAAATTGAATAAAAAAAATCAAAAATAACCATTTTTAAGTTACAATTTTCCAATAAAAGCGGACTAGAAATCTTCCAGTATTCAGTTGCATAGTTGCATTTAAACAATAGTCCAAGTAATAAGTTTAAATAATAATAATAAGTCTAAATAAATAAAAATAATAATAATAAGTGTATAAATAAATATTAATCCTAAGTCTAGGATATATTTTTTTAAAATTTTTTCAGTTATTAATTTTTTAATCGAGAATGTGTTCCAAACCAGCTGCATTTGAGTTGGCCCAAATGTGTGCTAACAAAATCATAATAAAACAACATTTGATAAGAAGAACCGAACAGAAAAACGAAGATGAAATCGAAAAAGCCATCGAATCAATATTGACTCCAGATCCTAAATTCAACCAGGATCTGGAGAAATTTTTGTGTCCAGAAGAAAAATCTCAAATCGAGATCAACCAGGATCTGGAGAAATTTTTGTGTCCAGAAGAAAAATCTCAAATCGAGATTATTGACATTTCAAGTCCAGAAAGTCCTGCTCATGAAGATTATGATGAAATGGAACAAAATGAAGAAATGAACGCCGAAGCTGTCATCATAGCTGAAAAATCTTTTCAGCTAGATGAACTAAATCAAACTGAAAAGCAAATTTTCCAAAAAATGGAAATGTATTCGAAAAAAGTTTTATACTGTAAGCAACTTCTAAATATAATTAATAGCAGAAAACATTTAATTGAGGAAAATTTCAGAAAAGAAACCGAACAAAAACATTTAATGGAACTAATTTAAGCTTATTCATATACTTGTTATTATTATTTTTATTATTAATTATTTAGACTTATAGAATGTAGGTAGGTAATTATCAATTTTTTAATTGATTAATTGATTAAAGTTTAATTTTAAAAATAAATGCACTATTTAATTTACCTTACACTTGTGTTTCAATATTCATATCCTCAAGCAGGCTGCTATAAAAAAAATCACCACTAACTATGATTATATCGAAACATTCACCAACAAACAACGCGGACCAAAGATCGACTTTAAATAAAAAATTAATTCGAGGTAGGACCATCGAAATTTTGTCTGTGCCCTCGAGCCTTGATAATCAAGATTGGTGCAGCAACGAGTTCATACTAATGGATTTTTCAATAACTCAATAATGAAATAAAAATTTAAAAAAGTGTTTTATTGATTTAGCCTTCTATAATACATTTGATTTTAATATCCAAGAATTAAATGAGTTATCCATTCCAAGCCATTTAACATACACTTTGTTTCCTTTTCGTTTTAAAATTTTTTCAACCAAATAAACGTCAGGATTTTGAACCTTTTGTAGTTCTTCTGTATAAAATCCACCTTGAATTTCATCTTGTTTTTGATCTTCCAAAATATATGTTGTAGGATTGGTCAATTTAATTTCTTTGATTCTAAATATTTCGTTGGACCAGTTTGGTGTGTAACCTTTGGAAAATAGTTCTCTATATTTACTTATTCTCACAAAGTCACCGATTTTGAATTTTGAAGTTCGAATATCGATACTTTTTATGTGTTTGTAAGTGTTTGAAAATATTTCCTTTTCGTTTTTCTTAGATATTTTAGACGGTTCAAGTCCCGTTGTAGAATGCTTTGTGTTATTGTATTCAGTCACTATTTTTGGTAAAATATTTAACCATTTGTAATTTCCTTGTAAGCTGAATTGTTTCCACATTTTATTTTTCAATGTTCTATTTACTCTTTCCACAACACTAGCTTTTAAATTTGAAAATGTGCTGTAGTGATTAATTTGATATTGCTGCATGAGTTTTTGAAAATGATGACCATAAAATTCTCTTCCCCTGTCTGTATGTAAATTTCGTGGGGTAGTTTTTGCATTGATGAGAACTTTTTTCATTGCTGCTGTCACATCCTTGCTCGACTTTGATTTAATCGGCTCCGCCCATACATACTTTGAAAACGCATTAATAACTATCAGAATATATTTAAATCCTTTATTGAACTTAGCATAAGGTTGCATTTCAACCAGATCAGCCTCGAAGAGATCATTTAACCCTTTAATAATCACCCTTCTTCGTTTATATTTTCTTCGAGCAGTTTTGTGTAATTCATTAACTACTTGATCCTTAATGGTAGTCATTTTACATTTTTTTTTATCATGGTAGACAATTTAGTTAGTACTGATCATGATTTGTTTTTGTAGCCTCATTTATTAAATTTTTTTAAATAATAGTTATCATAATAGCTTTTGTAAGATTCCACCCATTTTTCCAATTTATTAATCATGATTTTTTCATCTGTTTCCTTTAAATATTCAAATATTTTGTCAATTTCTCCATTTATATTATCAAGACAATCTTTAATGTGGATTCTTAGATATTTAATTGTTCTATTCTCGACATCACCTAATCCTTCTTCTTCTATTTTCTTCAATTCTTCATTTAATTTCTTAATTATAGTTGGAATTGTAGATTGAATAGAAAATATCAACCGTCTTTTTGTCAACGATACTTCCTCCAGGTTTTGTCCATTGAGAAGATTATTTACTTTGTCTAGTTGAGCTGTACTTATATTTTCAATTTTATCTTTCACTTGTGCAATTTCTGCTTTGAGATTTTCAATAATTATTTCTTTAATTTTGGTTCCCATAGTTTCATTTATTTTATTAATACCCACATTCAATTTTTTGTCCTCATTTTCAACATATTCTCTTAATAACTGAATATCTTTTTCAATTTTTTCAACTTTCTGATCAATTTTGGAATCTACATCAATTTTTAGATTTTTTATTTCATCAATTCTTTTACCTAAATTTAAAATTTCCTTCGAAATATTCTTGAATTGATTTTCTAGGTCGGTAACAACTTTAGTAACCAGTTGTATCTTTGTCAATTGAGTTTCAAGTTTTAGTATTTCTTCTTTGTTTGAATTTTGCATTAAGGAAAACTTGGAAATTTCTGTTGAAATATTATTAAATTGATTTTTGAAATCAGTAATTCCTTTAGTGTTGATTTTAATGTCATCAATATCAATTTTAAGCTGTTCTATTTCTTTTTTGCCTGAAATTTGCGTAAAAGACAATTCTGAAACTTGTGATAAAATTGTATTTAATTTTTCTTTTAATAATTCAATATCCTTGGTTCCATATTTTCTGATTTGTTCAACTTTTTGATCAATTTTGAACTCTACGTCTTCATCAACCTTTAGATTTTTTATTTCATCAATTTTTTTTCCCAAATCTATAACTTTCATTGAAATAATCTTGAATTGATTTTCTAGGTCGGTAATCACTTTGATAATCGATTTTATTTCAGTAATTTCGGTTGTGAGTTTCAGTTGTTCTTCCATCTTTGAATTTTGTACAGATGACAATCTCGAAATGTCCAATGAAATATTATTTAATTGATTTTTGAACTCAGTAATTTCTTTAGTATTCATTTCAATGTCATTTATTTTAATTTTAAGATTACGTACTTCTTCTTCACTTGAACTTTGTATCGATGTTAGCTTTGGAATTTGTGTCAAAATTGTGTTTAATTGCTCCTTTATAAATGCGATATCGTCAGTATTTTTTTTTCGTAGTAGTGCATTTAAATTTGAAGTTCTGTCCAAGCGCTTTATATTTTTATCAATATTATCATGATTATTTTTGAAGTACTTTACTTCTTTCGTAACTCTATCATAAACTTTGGTTGAAAAATTTTCAAATTTTAATTTGAGATTATCTTCTATGCTTTTTTGAACACTATCGATTTTTGATGTTTCATTCATGTATGTTTTTAATTTCGTTATTTCGGTTTCAAAATAATTTTTCAAATCAATAACATCATTATGATATTTTGTTATTGTTTCAATATCACCTTCAAATTTTGTTAGCTTTTCATAATTTTTTTTTGTTGATGCACTACAATCAATAATGTCTTTTTTTAAATCATTTTCAAAAAGCTTAATTTTTTTTGCAGTATTTTCGATTTTTACATCATTTTCATTCAACCTTTTATTAACATTAATCACATCCTGTTTTAATCTATTCTCAAAATCTTCATTTATTTTTTTTCCAAATTAAGTTAGGTCTTTTTTCAAGTTGTTTAAAATTGTATTTTCAACGGTAGAAAAATCGACATTTTCTAGTGACGTTTTATTCATTGAATTACGTTTCGAAATATGACGACCGAATTTATCAACTGTCATGATTGATTGATGATAAACAACTGTAATGTTTATGTAGTTTTTGATATTTATAATATAATATTAGCCTCTTTTAATTCCTCAATAATAGATAAAATTTCATTATGATGAGCAGTATTGCCTGCATTAACAGATGCTACCAAAAAACGCAGTCTATCAACAAGTTCGTTTACATCATTCCAGTACACATAGTCTGTGTTTGTTTTATTTATTTTTAAAGTGAATCCTTTACCTTTAGTAACTTTACGAGTACTTATTCGATATGGGGCAATAGGTTTTTCGAAAGTAGTTGGTCTAACGGGATTTATTGTTTTAGATTTTGTAATTCCTTTCTTTTGAAGATATGGACCTATAATTGTAATATATTTCGTAGATGCGGTTCCTTGAACTTGTTCATTGGGGTCATTATTTCTACGGTATGCATTTGTTATTTTCAAAATGTCCATATAATTATCCAAATCTTTGGGTTTGAAGCCAACAGGTTCCTTTTTAAAAAGTAATTCGTATAAACCCACAGTACCCTCATAAGTTCTACCCTCTACTACAATATTTTTACCAACTATTTTCACGGGTTTTTGTGTTAGACCCAGAAAAAATTTTTCACCATCAATATCATGAACTACTCCATAATTATGATCGAATTTATGTTCTGTATCCCTTACGCTTCCATCAATATAGGACCTAGGTAATTTATGAAAATCTGACAAATACACTTGGTAAGATGGGGAGTCTATATAATTTTTAATTGATTGCTTAGTTTGTTCCAATATATCGGACAAATTTAAACTTTCACTAGTACTACCTTTTGGAAAAGGACTAGTTTCAGCTAAAACAGTTGTTTCCTGTATAGAAGGAAATTGACTAACAGAAGCAACACTAGTATCAAAAAATGATGGTATCTCTGATGGTAAAATGGGAGTTTTTCCTGTTTTTCGAACTATTCTCTGTTTGCTTGGTGTTGAAGTTTCGTATTTTTTTTTTGGTGTTACAAATTCTTCTTTTAAACTAAAGGGTTCTTCTTTCAGTACTATCGGTTCACCTATAGTAGAAATTAGTTGTTTTAGTGGTTCTGTTATTGGTTTATAGGTTTGTTCCAATTGTGATTGTGTTGTCGTGCTTGCTAGTTTCAAATTATGATATTTTTCTCTCACTGATTTTCTAGATTTAATTAACTCCTTAGCTAAACGTTCATCCATCTTAGACAAGTTCTTAATAAAAACAAATAGTGGAAAATTGCACTTTTATAGATATATGAAAGTGTCAAATTTATTTCTATATCTACCTGCATTTATTGCACAATCTTTATCAATTAAAAGAAATCCATATGGGTCTTCCCAACAAAAACTGCACATATTCTTGAACTGCTCAAATGTCATATCCATTATGCAATGATCATTATATATATGTTTCATACTCATAGAATCTTGTTTGAATAAAATTAAAAGATTTGTATTTTCACGGATTAAACGTTTGAGAATTGAAGAGTAGCCTTGAAATATAAAAAAACAATCAGTATTCTGATGTCTACATTGCGTAAAATAATCTCTTATAACACTTTGGTTTTGACAGGGAATGTCATCGAAAATTATAACTGAATTTGGTTTTATATCTTGTGGAGAAATGATACTTTCATCATTATCATATTCGTGATAACCGATTTCTTTTATAGGTTCCAAAAGTTTTTTCAAGTATTCATATTTTGGTTGATTTAATGATTTTGAATAAACGTAAACATTTTCAAATCTAATACCATTAGGATGTTCGAGTAAAGAGAGCATTACATTAGTTTTACCAGAACCACTACAACCGACAATAAGCCCTCTTTTAGATCCTCCACAAAATAAATCACCATGTTTTCTAAATTGTTTTGTTAATACTTTTTCATCATGATTAGTTACAGGTAAAGAGAATTTTTGCTTTTCAATCCTCATGTTTTAATATTACTGACGTCCTTCTCCTAAGTATGGAAGTATTTATAACAAAGTCACGCTGAATTTTGATTCAGTATCGGATTAATCTCTTTAATGATCATACACAATATTACTAAAAACCAGAAACTTAAAAAAGGTTCAGGTTTAGTTAACAAATTAATTAATAAGCTTCCATTTGAGCTTCATATACCAGGCGGATATAACTATTGTGGCCCAGGAACTGAGTTAGAAAAAAGATTAGCTAGGGGTGATAGTGGTATAAATCCGTTGGATGTTGCATGTCAGGAACATGATATAGCATATTTTCAATCTAACGATTTAGCAAAAAGACACGAGGCTGATCAAATTCTAGAGAAAAAAGCTTGGACAAGAGTAAAAGCTGCAGATTCTTCACTCGGTGAAAAAAGCGCTGCATTGATGGTTGCTGGTATAATGAAAGGAAAACGCAAGCTTGGAATGGGTATGAAAAAAATAAAAAAAAAAAAACGTGTTATAAAAACACCCAAAAAAATTGGTGGTTTTTTACCATTTTTACTTCCTATTTTGGGTGCCATCGGCGCCTTGGGAGGCGGTGCCGCGTCGATTGCCAAAGCAGTAAACGATGCTAAAGCATCCAGACAACAGTTGGAGGAACTTCAACGTCATAATAAAGCTATAGAAAACCTAACACAAGGAAAAGGATTGGGTTTTAAAAAAAATAAACGGATTAAAGGGAAGGGATTATACATTAAACCATTTAAAGGTGGATCCATTGAAAAAAAAAAATCCAAAAAAAAAAATTCAAATAAAATTACCACGACGAGCACTTAGCAATATTGATTTATTGAAATATATTAAAAAAATCAAACTACCATATTTTAGAGGTGTCTTTATGCGTGATGATCTTCCAAACAAAATTCGAAAGGTAGAATGTGGTATAGTTAATTTAGATAGCAAACACCATGCTGGTACTCATTGGACAGCTTATATCAAAAATAAAGATGTAGCCATATTTTTTGATAGTTATGGCAACCTTAAACCACCTCTTGAACTGGTGAGATATTTTAATTCGAATGGTAAAACAAATGTATTTTACACCTATGAAAATAAACAAAAATATGATTCAGTCAACTGTGGACAACTAGCACTCTCTTTTCTGCAAAGTAATATATAAGCTTGATGTTCTATTAGGAAAAAACATTATCGTACAAGTTCCAATGTCTACAACTATTGCGATATCAGGAAACGATTCTGTATTATCTGCAGATTTTAATCCACCAATATATTTAGATGATGACAAACAATACTACTTGGGGCTAGCAGATTTTGAAACTTTCATGACCATTCCTAATATTGAATCAGGTCATAATAAATTTTACATAGATGATAAAATAATAACTATACCGGATGGAACTTATGATATTACTGATATAGAAACATACTTAAAACGCGAGATTACAGGCATTTTTGGAAGCGAAAATGTAGTTTTTTTTTTGCTACCAAATGTTAATACCCTTAAATGTAATATAATGTGTAGTAAACGCATCGATTTCACAAAGGATGATTCAATAGGGAAATTATTGGGTTTCAAAAATAGATTAGTTGAACCCAATACATTAGATAATGCAGACTATGTTGCAAATATAACTAAGGTGAATGCAATTTGCATTGATTGTAATATTTGTGTGGGATCATTCAACAATGGCAAACCTGTTCATATAATTCATCAATTTTATCCAGCTGTAGCTCCAGGGTATAAAATAGTAGAATCACCTTTACCCATATTATATTTTCCAGTCAGCGTTAAAGCGATAAACAACATAACCGTAAAAGTTGTCGATCAGGACGGAGATCTTATCAGTTTTAGAGGTGAAACTATAACTGTTAGGTTACATTTAAAAACAGATAGTATTTGAAATGGTTATTAGATATAATAGAAGTTCCATTATCCAGTCTTTACCTTTATTTGAAAAAAAATCTTATAAAAGAAAAAAATCTGAAAACAAATTCATTAACAAGGAAAACGTGAACCGGTTGACACGGGAAAATCATCAATTTCTCACGTCTTTAGGATTTAAAGTTTTAATATAATGGACATTTTAAATGTTAACGAAAAACTTTTCGTAGACAATTCAATTGTTAGTTCCGAACTTCACACCTACCAACCCTTTATCTCTTCAAAGTTTGATTACAATGATGAAATACGAATACCCATTCAAGAGCTTGATACATTTACTTTACCATCAGAAAGCTTACTTTACATTGAAGGAAAATTAGTCAATAATGAAGGAACCTATACAAAAAGGTTAAGATTTGTTAATAACGGTATTGCTTTTCTCTTTAGAGAAATTCGTTATGAGTTAAACGGAGTCACTATAGACTCTGTGAGAAATGTCGGATTAGCTTCTACTCTAAAAGGTTATCTTTCACACAATACTAATGAAAGTCTAAAACTACAGAATGCAGGTTGGTTTCCAAAAAGACAAGAGGCCGAACGAATTTTGGTGGATGATAATGGAAAGTTTTGTGTTTCCATACCACTAAAAATGTTTTTAGGATTTTTCGAAGATTATAAAAAAATTATAATCAATATGAAACAAGAATTAGTTCTTATTAGAGCAAGTAATGATTTAGATGCTGTTTTGTTTGAAGATGATTTGGAGACCAAAGTAATTACTGATGAAACTCCAATGATCTCCTTCGATAAATTGTATTGGAAAATTCCACACATAACAGTAGACATACCTCAACAACTGGCATTATCAAAAATACTAGAATCTAACAAAGAAATCTTTCTAGGATTTAGAAGTTGGGAAATTGTTGAATATTCGTCTATATCAGAAACAACTAGACATACCTGGCCAGTGAAAACGACAAATAAACTCGAATCTCCTCGTCATGTTGTAGTAGCCTTTCAAATAGATCGGAAAGGGCAAGTTAAAAAAGATATGAGTCAGTTTGATGATATTGATCTAACTAATATAAGAGTATTTTTAAATTCTGAACGTTATCCTTATCATGATTTGCACTTAAATTTCAAAGACAATAATTTTTCTGCCTTATATGAAATGTTTGCAAACTTCAGACATTCCTATTATGGAATTGCAACTGAGCCAGTGTTTAATCCCACTGATTTCAAAAATATTTCTCCCATAACACACATCGACTGTTCTCATCAGAAAGAGTCAATTCAAACAGGATCTGTTGTCATGAGAGTTGAATTTGAAACAAGCACCAATGTCAAAAAAGATACTTCTGCATACTGTCTGATCCTTCATGATAAAATATTCAGCTATAATCCTCTAACCAAAATAGTAAAGCAGCTATAATGCGCATGCTTTTATGTTTATATAAATCAGATATTTATCTCAAATTATCAGTATCATGAAGACCGAATTGGATGTACAACTATCTCGTTACATGAAGAAGTTACAGCAATTAAAAAAACAAATACAAGAATACTCAGAAAAAAAGTTTATGATTAAAGCATTTTCCAATATGAAAATATGAATAAACTAGTGTTGGATGTGCAAGGATTTACAATAGAAAATAACAAATTTATACCCAAGGAACTAGCTGCCTATGATGGTACCAAAATATGCCACTATATTTTTAGACCACCATTTGATATTCAACATTTACCACCTGATTTATGTAAACAAGCAAATTGGTTAATTCATAATCATCATTGTATTTGTTGGAACGAGGGATACACTCCAATTTATAAGTTTGCAGACATTGTCAAAAATCTAACAGGAAAAGTAGACAATGTTTACGTAAAAGGGAAAGAGAAGTCCGAATACATTAGAAAATACTCATTGAAGCCTGTTCTGGAATTTGAAGATAAGCCGGCTCTTCAAAAAGGACAACCTGAATGTTTTTACCATCTGAAATCACAATGTATATGTGCACTTAGTAATGTATTCTATTTATATAATAATTTTATAATGATTGAATAAAACACTTATTTTTTTGAACTTTTGTTTATTTTCTTTGATAATGATATAAGTTACATATTCAACTTATTATTAAACACTTCCTGAATAATTTCTTTCGGAGCAAACCTTTTCACTTTATCTAAAAAATGAGCAAAATCCATGTGTTTTATGGTAGTAAGGAATGTTGTCAGATCCAAAGTATGTAAGTAGGTATTACAAGCCTCCTCCGCTTTGCTATATTTTCTTGCAAGTTCCATACATTCTTCGATCGTTTTGAACCTTTCAAATCCACAATTAGCTTCATGCTCCGCGTCAAATTCCAAATTTCTAAAAAGTTGTGCCAAATTTTCAACTGCTGTTGTCAAGCTGTAGGTTGGAGTTTCTTGTACATAAGCTAACCACATCTTGACTAGTTATATAATATCAAAACAGCTCCTGAAGCTTAAATATTACTTGTTTAGTGGAGGGAGGTAATAAAGAGTAGGTATGTTGGTACTAATACTTTTTATTTTCCAATTTATTAACAAATTCGTTACATACATATGTTTCCACATCTTCTATAATACAATCAGAATGGAAAATTAGCAATTCCAGAACACAGGAAACGTTTTCACTATTTGGGTTAGTTGAAGGTGAAATATTCTCGTATACATTTTTGTTCAAATCACCATTTTTATTGGATACCATGCTTATTACTCTGTTGTAATAATTTAAAAATTCTTGACTCTTAAGTAGATCAAAACGATACTTTATCAAGTTAACCAAATTTATGAGTTCATTTATAGTTTCACCAGCCAAAAAAATTTCGTTTCCACCATCTTGAGTAATTTTGATTATTCTTGATTCGCCAATAAACACAAACTGAATTTCGTAGCCATTTCCTGACAAAGACTGCCATCCCGAACTTTTAGAGTAAACAAAACTTAACAAATTTTTCTGGTTATTCAAAAAGGATATCCATTGTTCCTCATCAAAAATCACATTTTGCTTATTTTTGTATCCTCCTAGCTTAACAACGGGAATATATTTTCTCTCCAAGGAAAATCCAACGCTGACCCACTTGGATTGTGATTTGTTGATGTAGTACTTTTTTTCTCCAATTAGGGTTCCATTTCGGTTCTTACCAAATTCTTCCATTTTTTTTGGTTGTTGATAGTAGTTGGTTGCTTGGAACATTTTATTATTGATACTCAGACAAAAGTTTGAAACTGAATGATAGCAACACTTTTCATTTTTTCATTTATATATCAAGACAAAGTAGACATGATGAAAATTTTGAGAGGTGGGTATTAGTATACCTTCCCTTTTTTCACCTTTTACATAAATTTTGGATGAGTTGGTCAAGGAAAAATCACACAAATGAAAATTCAAAAACTTTTATTTGTAATACAAATATACATGATATAAAAGAAAACATAATATAGTAATAAATGATAGAAATGATATAATAGAGAAAATTATTAGACTCACATCTAAATTATTTTCACATGGCTTTACATATAATTTGTGCCATTCTTTTGTTTCTACATAGTTTCTATCTACAAAATAAATCCGTAACTTGTAATCAACATTAGAAGAATTATCAATATTTTTTCCAAGTTTATAAGAATAAAGACCATTATTCAAATAATCCATTCTTTTCCATGCTGATGGCCATGTATCATTTTTTACATTGTTAGCTGATAAACATATAAACGTCTCTCTTACATTGTAATTGACTTGTATAAACAAAGTACTATTTAAAAATGCAGAAAGAAACAAGAGTCCTGCTGGTAGCATGATTACTTTCAAATGATTATATGCTTTAATAATTATCACAATTTATAGGAATCACAAGCTAATCCTTGAAGCACTTTAATTACGTCATTAACGTCTTCATCATCACAAATATTATCATCGCTCAATATATTAATGTCTCTATGACCCCAAGCCAAAGTCCTAAAAATTCCTTGAATAATATAACGCTTATCATCTTTAGGAGACAAAGCAACTTTATTTTTTAATTGTGTGTACATGTTATGCAAACTTGAATGGAAGATATTCATTTTTCTAAATTTAATATCAGACTTTTCAACTACGTCTTTATAATCTTCTTGGCTAATTGAATTTTGAACTACATATTTTTTTATACCTTTTGCTTTTTTCTCAGATCTATTTTTCAAGTTAACACAATATGCCTTAGCACCTGTTCCTAGGAAGCTGAGTATCGGTTGTCCAGCAAATTCATCTTTCATGCGACCTAGCACGGATTTATTTCTTGTAATGTTATAAACATTATTTTCATCATAATTAGAAGTGTCGAATCGTTCAAGATTTTCTTGAATGTCTTTATAAAAATTATCTGTTTTAACATGTAAAATTAAACTATCCGTATCAGTGTACAATAAAATTGCATTGTCTCCATATTTTTGCTTAATATACTGATAATAAAAATTATATATTACAGTTTTTGAAAGTTCTAATACTGTGAAACCAACATAAACAGGTTTATTGTATGTTACTTTTACCCTTTCTAACTGAATTGCTACTAGGTTTTCGTTGAACACTAATGAACTTTTGAAATTAGGTTTAGCTATAAGTGATTCAGCCCCCTGTTTATTATTAATATTTTTCCAATGGGTTAATAATCGTATGTCTACTCGTTTATCAATATTTTCTAAAGATTTGCCATAAATAGCGTTGTTATATAATTTATGACAGTCCTTTTGCATTTTACTTTTAGATTTGTTCCTCATTTATGTATTTAAATCTATATAAGGTTTAAGAAATGCAGATTGTTTAAATTTGATACCTCTGTGAAATTTAATTTCATTGAGTCCATTTTCAATTGCTTGTTTGAGATTTCTATAATGAATTGTGTATTTTTCTTTGTGATTCAAACTGCAAATTAATTTTTTTTGATATGAATCTGGTGGACATATATTTTCAGCTAAAAAAGGTAATTCATTATGCTTTTTATGTAAATTTAGGGGATATTTGATATCTACTTCAAATACATATCCATATTCAGAATCATCTGGTATGGATAAAACATCAAGAGAATCTATTTCTTCATTAGTCATCCAAGAAAAATCACTTGTAGGTAAACATTGACACATACTATGTCCATAAAGATTAGTTGCATCCAAATACATAATAAACGAATTGGGTTCCGTAGAATCAAAATTTGGAAGAAATGGATTATTAGCCTCAGCTTTTCGAACACTACAATGACATATTCCACCCCGAATACTGTTTTTGAAAAAATGTAACATTTCAATGTCTGTTAATAATTCTAATTTAACCCTTGTAAATTTCAACATTGCATCCCAAGATAAACCAGGTGCTGTAAAGTATTGTGCAGGATCTAATTCATATATATTAAGGGATACATTTCGAAAAGCCTCAAAAAAGTCCGTCAATATGAGAACATCTGATAATAAATATATCTTAGTGTAATCCCTTAGGTTTTGACAATGGAACAAATTCCAAATATGAATAGCTCGTTCATAATCTGAAGGATCTAAAGGAGTATCTTTAAGTTTATCATAAAAGTTTTCAATACTTGGAAGTTGGGTTTCATTTAATTTGTCTAGGGAGTCTACATAAGAATAAGGATAAATTCCTTTTTTTCTAATTTCATTGAACTGATTGGAATCTTGAAAATATCTTCTAATTTCTACACATTGATTGATATCTAAGCTATTACCAAGACTCTCTAATGAACTAGCGACAAAACGGAAAGAATCTAAAAATCTGAGCCTAATAAAAACATGCTTAACTTTCGTTTTATCAGCTTGTTCAATTTTGTCAACCAATATTGACTTTGTGAATGAAATGTATTTTTCTTTAGTTTGTGCAAGAATATCAATTTTATCATTTTCACAACAAAGTTGTTTGATGAATAGATGGCTATCATATCCTGTGAGGTTGTGGAAAAACACAGGAATAAAACTGGGAAGCTGGTAGTTCAAATTACAAATATTATGTGCTATTCCTCGATATTTTCCAGTTAAATGATCATGATCCCTTACTTTTTCATCTAAAGGATTGAATTTTTCCTTACAAATACTGCAAATGATACTATTTTCGAATTGAAATTCTTGTTCATTTGTTAAAGGAACCATCGGTACCACATGTTTCAGATAATTATTATAAATTCTATGAACATGAGCTTCAATTCGTTTGCAAAATTCATCAGCTGCATCAAGACCAAAATAATAATCTATTTCTGATAAAGAATCATCATATGAACATTTAATGAAATAAGCGAAAGAATATGGTTCATGCTTAAAAGTGTTTAATGTAAAAGAACTCTTATCATTGGTTGGTTCTTCATATTGTAGAGGTTTTAAAAAACACTCAAAATCGGCATATATTACAAATGGAACTTTAAGTTGCTTCTGAAAGTTTTCGAACTGGAGAATATTTTCAGGGATCTGTTGCCCATATTTATTAACTTTTATATCAGTTGTTGGAATTTTTGTAAACACATGGTTACAATCATATACTTGATGCATATCTAATTTTTTTTTAGAATTAAAATAAATTAAACATCCATCACAAAAATATTTTCTATAACTTGTTTTATTTATTTGAGATGCAACTAACCTTGACATATCTTTAATCCAACAATAATGATTGTTTTTACCTTCACTAATTAACAATAAGTTTACATGAGTTGGAAGTTTCTTATCGGTATAATGAAGAGGACCAACTACCTCATAACATAATTCGGAATCTTTATAAACACTCTCTAAACCATAAACGTTTATGGATATTTGATTTAAAAGTTCAAATTTTTTAATATCCTTCAACTTCACTGGAAATTCAATACCTTCAAAATTAAGATAATCCAAAAAATTAGGGTATGAACTTATTCTATCACTATGTTGGTCTACTGGAAACATGGCACTTATTACACTCCACCCAAAACAGTGTTGATCTTTATTTTTTATGTTAATTACAGCTCTTCTATTAGCTATCTGTTTTGGTAATGGGATATACGAAGAAGCTCTAATGGGATTGTACTTATTAACGTTGATCTCTAAATAAAGTATTTTTTCCAAAGCCCAACCAGATCCATATTCTGCAAAAGTCGACAATTTTTCCTTAATTTCAGATAAAAATGTTTTATAAATATCAATCATATCTGTTGTTGCTGTGATAATTTTGTTTTTGGTATTAAATGATTTTGTTTCAATGGTTTCTTTTGATTGTAAAATAAATTGACCAAATAATTCAACATTAATTTTAACTGCCCTGTGTTTTTTTATTTGTTCTGTAATCAACCTCATAAATTTCTCTTCAACTTCTTCAAAAAATTTGTCTATATCTATAAGCTTTTTTGATGGAATTAACATTAACGTTAAAATCCTGCTTTTGAAGGCTGATTTTATAGTTTTTACAAGATCGTCATTTTTAT